CCGCCCGCCGGGTTGTGACTCCCGCCGGCTGACGCCGGGAGTCGTGCGGCCGGGGTGACGCCGCCCCAGCACCGGCTGGCCGCGGGGGAAGCGGGGAGAGCCGCAGAGGGCAGGAGTCGAGAGCGGGGGTCAGCGCCGGCGGAGGGCCGGGGTCGCGCCTGACGCCGCTCCGCCGCCGCCTGCAAACTGTGCGGGAGGCGTTAGATTCCCCCGCTGCTCGCTCGGTCACCTGCGATCCTCGCGTCCAGTAAACCATACCTGCACTGCTTCCATTCAACAGGCCCTCGGCTTCCTTTACAGGCCCTCGGGCAGCTCTGCCGTGCCGGATACAAATAGCCTGACAGCGCCTAATGACGTTTTACGAGAACACGCTCATTTTTTGGTTTTGCTTTGCTAAATACTTGACGCGATCCCGGGCACGACGTGTTTCTGTCTTACTTTCGCTGCGAAAGGAACGGAGGAGGCTTTTGAGTTACGCAAAGCGCCCAAACCCCCAAAGGCAGGGAACCGACAGGCATGCCCTTGCTCTGGTACCGGGGCGGGAGGGGGGACGAGGGGCGTGTGGCACCCTGTCGCCTAAGAGAGAGGATTTTATTTCGCAGAGCAGTGCCCGGCAAAATACTCTGAAAGTCAAATCCGCAGCCTGCAGCCCGTTTTTCAAGCCTCGCGTACCCCCGTGGAAAACAGTGCTTGCTAATGGCAGAAGGCTTGCTCCCTCCTAGCAGGGCTAGGGCGCTGCTGGAATAAGCGTCCCCAGCACTTGCCTGTGGCCTCTGCGCTGTGCACACTCCACGCGCCCCAGTCAGCGACAGAGACTTTACCTGCTCTCTGCATGTGGGAAATGTAAGTCCAAGCCTCGGCTCCTCAGTGTCTTGCAAGCTAGTCCCTTTGATTTGTAATTATCGGAGGCTTCATAAGTAATTGGCTAGAACTTGCCCGCGCTGTGTCCGCGGAAGATCAGTGGGCGTGCAACTTTTCATCATTGCCATCGTCTCTGTGAGGCTGGGAAGAGGAGCTTTTCCCTCCGCTTCTGCCGTCCCCAGTGCAGCTGGGTACAGTTCTGAACCAGAAAATACGAGTGCGTTCAAGCAACGCCGGGTGCCTGCTCTGCTTTTGAGTCAGTACTTCCTTCTCCTCGGTGCCGCCTCAGCCATCCGGTGTAAAACCTCCTAGCAGATGCAAAATAGGCAGCGCTGAGGAGCAAGATGGAGAAACCGCGAATTTGAGAGGATTTCGCTTTTCTTTACTTGTTCTGCTATATTTTGTTCCCGTCCTTAAATCAGGCGGGCATTGCGTTTTGTTGCACATTGTGTTATGCAATCTGCAGGACGCCTGCCACGCTAGGAAAGGATGTCCCTGGAGATTGTCTTTTATTTAAACGTCTAAGGCTATTTTCAAAGGGCGCTCGCCTTTTTGTCGCCGCGTATTACACAGAGTCGGGGCAGTAGGAAGGAAATACTGTTCTGCGCTTAATTCTTTCCACATTGACTCGCAGCCAGCGCTGGGGTCCGGGGAGTGCGCTGCAAACCCTGTTTCTCCGAAGGGTCTGCCTGGCGCAGATCATAAGCGGCGGCTTTACCCGGGGGGGCTGTAGCTCTCGACGGGTGGAGGCGATTGAAAGGCGGTGGCGGGGGGGGAGCGGCGTAACCCCCGCGGGCGAGGCGAGGAGTCCGACAGGGGCACCCGGGAGCAATCGCCCAACAGGTGACTCCTTCCTTCCTTCCTTCCCTGCTTCCTTCCTTCCTTCCTTCCTTCCCTCCTTCCTTCCTCCGGGGGGAACCCGCTCCTTCCCAGGAGCCTGCCGAGGTGGTCGTCAAGTGGCAGCGAGGCGCTTCTGGCCAACCCCGGGGCGGCGGGGGC